GGAAAACTTCTTTGTTGGAGGAAAAGAAATGTGACCAAGATGAAAGATGCGAGCGTAGGTCCTTCTGTCTCCCCGGTACCTTGTCTGTTTCCCCCTGGAATGGGAAGTAGCGACAAGATGAGTCCCCAGACGCCTGTGCATCTGTCTCTGTGACAGTTCTTCCGTTTTTAAATACAGCTTATCATTCACTTCATTGCGCTTGTGTGGCAAATGTTGCAGTGTTGAAGCAATTAGCACTGTGATTCTTTTTCCCTTAAAAAAAAAAAGAGCTTTCTCTCTGGAGAAGCCATGTGGAAAAGAAGAATTGGGTTTTGTGTGTGTGTGTGTGTGTGTGTGTGTGTGTGTGTATATATTTTTTTTTTAATTTTTAAAAATTTTTATTATTTATTTATTTATTTATTTGCTGGGAGAAGAATTTTTGATTACTGTTAAAATATTTGTGGAATACCTTTCTTTTCCTACAGGTGTACCAAATCTTTGGAACGTTGATGGAGAAGTGACAGTCACTGAGCAGAAGCCGGGAGAAGTCGCTGAGGAACTAGCCAGCTCCTACGAAAGAAAGCTCATTGAGGTAAGGCTGAGAGAGCCTGTGTCTTCATTACTGCAGATATAGGCTGCTTTGGGGGCTTTCCGGAAACAGGCCCAGCCTGTTAAATGGATGTTAGCAAAACAACCAAAGCATCGCACTTGATAAAGAAAAGTAAGAGCTGGCTCTTTGAAACACATCATTTAATTGAGATTTGGGGTACCTTTGGCCAGGGAATAAGAGAGAAAACATAAATCTGTAATGTTAAAAATAAGAAAACAAATGTACCCTTAGACTTGGAGATGATTAAAAACAGGGGAGAATACCACATACAACTTTGTGCTGATAAATGTGAAAATATGGATGGAATGGACTATTTTCTAGGATAATGTTTATTAGCAAAATTAATTGGAGATGAGGCCAACTGCCTGAAGGGTACCAAAAAACTCAAGAAAGAAAGTTGTAAAAGTAATTAAAGAACTGCTTTCCTGGAAGGTAGCAAGCCTGAATAGTTTTATGGTGAGTTCTAAGGAAACCCTTTAAGGTATACACAAAAACCCTTTGCTGTGTATTTCTATTTCCTTAAAGCATTATCTACATTTATACCTATATCGCTATCTATCTATCTATCTATCTATCTATCTATCTATCTATATATATATCTATACCTCTGTATCTTGGTTCAAACGTGCTTTACTTTGATATTAAAAAATAACCTGACAAAGATACTATAAGAAACAATGGTATAGACTAGTCTCATTTGTGCATAGATGCATAAAAATTTTGGAAAAATATCACCCAATCAAATTCAGTCACATATTAAAGGAACAGTTACATAAAAGTGGGGTTTCTTAAGGGTCTCAAGGATGGCTTAATGTTAGGAAAGTCATTAAGTCAGCTCATTAATAGGTCGAAGGAGAAAAACCAGATACTGATCTTGATAGGTACTAAAAAATTGTTTGATGGTGTTGGTCATCGATCGGTATCTGATAAAAATATTCTTGATGAATGCAGAATAAAGGTACTTCTTTGAAATGAGAGTGTTTTTATCAGAAACCATTAGTCATCACCATACTCAATGGTAAAGCTGGGAGGCTTAGTTTTTGATTAGGTTACTAATATATAAAATACACACAGGTGTGTGTAGTAGTATTTGGTCATAGTATTTGTGACAAGTCATATGTGTTTGTATACACACACATGAGTACACAAATGTACTTTCAAGTTGTTGTCGGACCCACTTGCATCGTGTCTCGTTAGCTGCCAGAGAGTTGAGTGGTGAACTTCCTCATCAGAGGGAGCAGTGGTCGGATGTAGCCTTAACTTCTTAGCCTTCACCTCCTTTCCTGTCCTTGTGTGATTTCCTAACCCCTGGAGGGAGCTGCAGAGCAGAGACGGTCCCCCAATAATGACATTCGCTGCCCTAGATTGAGTTTTCTTTCTTTGCTTTGGTCATGAAGTGAGGGCCTGTCACTGAACTTTCATCTGCGAATATCATTAGCATTCCGTTCCAGCAAGGCCTGTGCTGTTAGCTTCCTGGGGCCCTTTTCAATGTTCTCTGTGTTGCTTGTCTGTCATTTCATTCATGGGTTGGTTGGCGTTTACCAAGAAAGAGTTGTAAACACGCGTGGGAGTGGAGCAATGACAGAATGTGGAGGGAGGGTTGAAGCTCTTGTCTTTTCATTCCAGAGGGCAAAGGCAGAAGAAACATTTCAGTTTAAATAACATGACTCTTTGAAGCACCCCAGCCATTGAGTTACTCTTCTGTGATTCCTCCCAATGAAAGGGGAGTTCCTGAACCTTCTTTCTCTAGGTGTCTCTCTGAGCATTACAACCACCTCAACCGTCTGCACACACACACACACACACACTGCATTCTACACATTGGAGCCCAGCGACCTGGAGTCCGGCGTCCCGGACAGTTCAGAACCCAAAGTCAACACTAAGTCACTTTTCAGTAGCCAGAGCATCAGGGGCCGAGGGCTGCAGTTAGGAAGGTGGCCTTGACACCCAGCGATGGTTGACTCCTGGAAGAACGGGAAAGAGAGTGCTGGCAGGTGTGGGTTAACCTGGCCAGGGAGACGCGCTGATGCAAACACTGGTTCTTTAACCGCCACTGTAATACTAGCAGCTGGCTGTCGGGCGCGCACTTCATCTCCAGGCTTCGTGCTAACCTACGGCTTTGACACAGATGGGCTCATGGAACCCTCCGCAGCGTCCCTTGAGGAAGAAGCTGTTCACAGATGGAGTTTTGAGAAGTTCAGTAACTTGCCCAATATTTCTTAGCTGGGAAGAAGCAGAGTGAGATTCGAATCACCCAAGCCACCTAGCTCCAGAGCCCACACCCTAATCCTTTGCTGTGCTCTGGAAGGCCAAGCTCACTGAAGAAACGCGAGGGGACAGTCACGAGTCCTGTCTGAGAGAATGAAGGAGGAGAGACCCGCAGGAAAGCCGGCTGTAGGTAACAGCAGTTTGAAACCAGGCTGTGTTACAAAGTTACTGAGTTACTGCAGAAGTTACCCTGAGTTAATGCAGAAGAAGGTGATATGGGATTACCTGTGCTTGGAAGTACCTGCTTCCGAAGCAAATGGTTATAGAAAGCCAGGCTGGGAGCACTGTGCAGGGACTATGAGCAGTGTCTTTTATTTGTATACTCATTGCCTTACATGGCCCCTGCATGCAGTAGGAGCTGCATAAATATTGAATGGAGTGACAGTCCGTTGAATGGACTCAGCTGTTCAGTGTAATGTTCCAAGAGCGCTTGATGTGAACCCAGATTGAGAAGGAGTCGTACCAAGGCCCCACGATAGCTCAGCGTGCCCCGGTGGGAAGGGTTACGTGTCTAATACAAGGAAACGTGGTTCCTTAGAGGAGGCACACTTTCTTCTGATACTCAGTTTAAGGGGGAGGTTTAGCTTGGAGAGCCTGGAGGGGACATTGAGTGACATAGATGCTGCCGACTCATTTAACACATTTATGTAGTTCCTTCCGAGTGTGCAGCCTGGAGCGCCCTTTCTCCACCTGCAGTGGCTCCCCCTACCCTGGGAGCAGTGGAATTTATGGTTCCAGGAGATGAGCCATGACAATGTGAGGAGGTTGTAGCAGAGAAGTTCCCTAACTGGAGCTTCTAGACCGTTCCCCCTTTTCTTTGGGATTCTTAGTAATGACACTCAGAATTTCTTTGGTAATCTTCCCATCCCTCTTGAAGATCTAGACATCAGAGGACATGGATAGATCTGTTCTAAGATTCCTCTTTACCTCCCTTAAGTATAATTTCTTTGGTTTAGACTCATCGCCAGAGATTTTAACGTTCTTTTCCAGCATGTTGCCATCAAGACAAAATGTAAAACGCCAGTGGCATCTGGACTCATCCTGCGTCTCTCCGTCACCGCCTTCTGTAGCCTGGTTGCGTGGAGAGACCACATCAGATGGACTGGTTCAGATTTGTCCCTTACTGCCACGTGTTCCTGGGCAGGCCACCTGACGGCTCTAAGCCTCAGTTTCCCCGTCAGTGAAATGCAGTCAGCGGTGTATACTCGTAGGGAGGCTCTGAGGACTCAGCGCAGAGAGCTGGCTCAGTGCCTGGAGAACACAGGAGCCATCTTTAGGCCTTCCTGCCCCCTCCTGTTCTCATTCCTTCGCAGAAATGACCTCCCCCATTGCTGGCTGTCTCGCTGGAGGAGTTCATCGAAGTCCCCGCCCTCCTTTGGCCCAGGGGTGGCCGGGAGATTGGGCTCTAAGCCCTGACTCACACCAACGTGGCCAAGATGCTCTGGAGGCCATTTCCTCAATGGCAGGGCCCTGGCCCCTCTCCAGTCGCTCCTGTGTTGAACCCGCCAGAGTTGCTCTCCTTCCAATCCCCCCACTTTTCTGTCTGCTCGCAGTAATTCCCTTGTGGCTTAGGCTAGACTCGTTCTGTTACTCGCCCCCAAAGCTCATGTGCGGCTTCGTATCTGTGATCAGGGGTGCCATTTCCCTCTGTTTCCCCTTCACGCTCTGCTTCCCAGGCCTTTATTCTTCCTCCTTGATACCGTTCGGAGCCTGGCTTTTCAGCCCCGCGTCCCCACTGCGTGCTCACCTGTGTGCCCCGGTCTTCAGCACCCAGTCCATCCTCTGTGAACAGACCTCGACTTCCTCCCAGACTATCCGTTGCTTGATTTTTCAAATTACAGGGCACTTATCATTTACTGTGCGAGTGTAGTTAGTCTCGGAATTTTTGCTCAGGGGTGACATAAATGGTATATTAGCAACGTTTATTGTCATGTTGATGGCAGAGTTACTATTAATGGAAAAGTAAGCTTAAGCATCAAGCTGGTGAAGATACATTCATAATCACACTCTGTGGATAACTAAATGTGTTTGTCATTTTAATAAAACGTAAAAGTTCCTGAAGCAGCTAAGACCTTGGGAGCAGTTATGCCACCAGCAATTGCTTCATAAATTGGCACCAATGGGTTCCCACCCTCTTGATATATCCGAGAATCATTTTTATGCAAAAAAGAATGGGCTTTTCAATAAAATGCCAGATTCCATGGAAGGACTCAAAATAAAGAGCTCTGAGCTGAGAACAAATTGAACTGGCGCTCAAAACGGAAAGCACAATGTGAGTTTGTTTTTATCGATTTTTGTTATGCATACATCAGGTATATGTAAGCATAGATGGAAGAATATAATGAGCTTCCATGTAGCATACCTTACTGCCACAGCTTTCAACTCAGGGCCAGTCTTGTTTCATCCAGACGCCGTCCTACCTTCCCAGCTTCTCGCAGTATTTTGAAGCAAAGTCCAACACTGATTTCGTCTCCCACAGCATTTTGGAATACATCGCTAATAAAATATAAGGGCCCCTTTTTTAAAAAGAAAAAAAAACCCCTATAATATCATTATCATACCTAAATTTTAGCAATAATCGCTTAATATCATCAACTACCTGATGAGTATTCAAATTTCCACTTCAAACAAAGGTTTGGGTACGATTCTAAATGGGGTCCATTCACGTGTTGTGACTGGTTGTTTGACCTCATAAATCGCTCTTCATCTACAGG